GAGAAAAGAGAGGGAATCCATGGCAGAAGGGGAAAGGGTAACCACTGGTGCTTTGGGTCCCAGTCCCGAGGGAAGAACCCCCTCACCATCCCTAGAGAGTATCCAGTCTGGCCCCACCGACTTCTGTCTGCTGCCTAACCACAAGAATGTGGACCATGGACAGTGGAGGGGTCCCAGGACCTGGCACAAGATTGAGGGACAAGGACACGCAGACGTTGCAAAATCCAAGATGAGCATCTCTGTCTACCTCCTCCACCTCTCCTGGGTCCTGTCTTCATTCTAGCCTTTCCCCTTGAGGGACTCAGTACCGTTCTCACCTCTATCTCCTTCCTTCTTCTTCTTTTTTCTTTTTTAAGTTTACTTATTTATTTTGAGACAGAGAGAGAAAGAGAGCACAGGCATGAGTGGGGAAGGGGCAGAGAGAGAGGGAGAGAGAAAGTCCCGAGCAGGCTCCATCCTGTCAGTGCAGAGCCCCACTCAGGGCTTGAACTCACAAACCGCAAGATCATGACCTAAGCTGAAATCAAGAATCAGAGGCCTAACCAACTGAGCTACCCAGGCACCCCACCTCTGTCACCTCTGTCTCCTGGATTTCCTTTTGCTCCTACGGTGACTTCTATCTGCTACATACTCCTTGACATAATGGTTTACACCTGCTACCTTCCTCTCCACCAGGTCTCCTTGACCCTGAAATATGTCACCCCCTTCTCCACAGCAGCAGCAATCCCTGTCACCTCCTAGCTTCAACCTCCCGGCTTTTTTCTGCTCTGTGGATATTACTAACAGACCTCGATCTTCGCTTGTCTTCTCTGCCCACACCTGTGTACTCTCCACCTCTCCAATCCCACGTTAGTCTCCTTCTCTGGTTTCTCTTCCGCCACTCTCCCCGCCCTGCCCCACCTCATCTCCCTCAGGAGTCCCATCTAATCCACTGCAGCCCTAAATCACCACCTCCATCTCCTGGTCCTAAATGCCAGCTGCATATTTCTTTCATCAAATGTAACACATTTAAACCAAAATTTCTGTCAGCTTCTCACACCCCACCCCAAGCAGCTGCCTTCTTGTGACTTCCCTCTCAGTGACTAGAGCAGCATCTCTAAGATGCTCTGAAGCTTGAAGCCTGGCACCCTTTGGATCCTTCAACTCCCACTCTGCACCAGTATTTACATCTTCAAGATTACTCCCCAGTTCAGCTCCCACCCACATTACCTTTCCTGGATCATCTTGTGCCTTCATCATCACTGCCCTGTGCAAACACCTCAGAGGTCCCGTGCTGCCTGCGCACCTTCTCCAGGCTGACTCCCCTGGCCTGTCCCCATCTGGGAGCATCCCTATCTCATCTCCATCGAGACCTCTCTCTTCCAACAAGTTGCCCCTGACTTCTACACACCCTTTTCTTATGACCTCCGTGGGAAAAGATCTCTTACGTAGACACAGCTCCAAAATACAGGTGTCTGCCCCACACACTGGGTCTGGCAGGCTCAGCCTCTTGGCCTGTGTATTTGTCTTGTTTTCCCAGCAATATCAGAAGCTCCCAGAACATCTTTGTATTTCTTTGTGCCTTCTAGGATGGGGTTGGTAAATTCATAAGCTCAGGGGGGAGACTAAGAAGGCAAATATATGAGGTAGAGAGGGAGAAAAAGGGGAGTATAACATAAAAGAGAGTGGGAGGGCCTGAGTTGGCCAAAGAAAACCCATATGCAGGGTAAAAAGACCTGTGGGTCACCAGCTTGAGATCCTCAACCAGGTGCCTTGTCCTGGCCACTCTTCCATGAATACTTCTTTTTGGTTTGTTTGTTTGTTTGTTTGTTTGTTTGTTTGTTTGTTTGTTTTGAGAGAGAGAACACGCATACATGCACACAAGTGGGGGAGGGGCAGAGAAAGAGGGAGAGAGAGAATCCCAAGAGGCTCCACACCCAGCACAGAGCCCTACGTGGGGCTTGATCTCACAACCGTGAGATCAGAACCTGAGCTGAAATCAAGAGTCAGACATTTAACAGTCTGAGCCCCCAGGCACCCCATTCTACAAATACTTCTTTTTTTAAACTTTTTTTAATGTTTATTTATTTTTGAGAGAGAGAGAATACAAGCAGGGGAGGGGCAGAGAGGGAGACACAGAATCTGAAGCAGGCTCCAGGCCCTGAGCTGTCAGCAAAGAGCCTGACGCGGGGCTCAAACTTCCATACCACAAGATCATGAGCTGAACCAAAGTCCCGCGCCTAGCAGACGGATCCCCCAGGTGCTCCGTTCCATGACTACTTTGTGGTTGATTCCCCAACGGCAGCAGTGGGTCCCTCAGTGTCTGGCAAGCGAACAGGGTGACCTGATTTCCTTGGCCTGGAGTAGAAGGAGCAACGGGCCCCAGCAGCCCTAGGGTGTCACCTCTCTTCTCACCCACCCAGCTGTCCTGCACTTGATGTCAGGTGCTGTCACTTGGCTCTAGCTTCCTGTGAGGTCTAACCTGCAGCGGCTTTTCTCACTCCCATACTAAAGAAAAAGCGGGCCTGCCCTCCCTGCTCATGACCCAATCAATGCCCACCAGACCAGCTGTACCCAGGGAGGCCCACCGGGCAGCATCTTTATCATCTGAAGCATTTGCTGAGCCTCATTTGCCTGCCTCCTTAGGTGGTGGAAGGACACAGGGCTGATAAGGGGTGGGGGTAGGGGTGGAGACAGAAGGACCAGGAGCAGAGGGCAAAGACTGGGAGAAAGAAGCAGTGGAGGAAACATCCGGAGCATGCAGAGACCCCATTTTGACAACTCCTAGGGCTTGCCTCTCATACCTGCTGCCCCTTCCTCTCTCAGCCTTCTAAGTCCAGCTGCTCACCCCTATTCCCAGCCTCCAGCCTCACTCAACTTCCAAGCAGACTTTAGGCCAGAAGAATCAGCTAAACCATTACTTTTATGAAGTCTTTCACCTGCTCTCACTGCCTGCAGAACAAAATGCAGCCTGTTCCAGCTGGCTGAGGTTTTCCATGACAGGGCCCTCTAACCATCGGCTTTATTTTCCACGGATTCACAAAGGGAAAACCCTACTCTGCCCAGTCTGACTCATCACCTCCATCTCCCTTCTGTGCACTGAAGCCAGTGTGCTTGTAATGGTCACCTCACAACGTTACCAGCTTCAGGGTGCCTGGGTGGTTCAGTCAGTTAAGCGTCTGACTCTTGATTTCGGCTCCAGTCATGATCTTGTGGTTCGTGGGTTTGAGCTCCGTGTTGGGCTCTGCACTGACAGTGCAGAGTCTGCTTAGGATTCCCTCTCTCCTCTCTCTGCTCTTCCCCAGTTTGTGCATGCAAGCTCACTCTCTCTCTCTCTCTCTCTAAAATAAATAAATAAGGGGCACCTGGGTCACTCAGTTGGTTAAGCATCTGACTCTTGATCTCAGCTCAGGTCATGATCTCGCGATTTGTGGATTCGAGCCCCACATCGTGCTCTGTGCTGATGGCACAGAGCCTGCTTGGGATTCTGTCTCTACCTCTCTCTCTCTCCCTCCCCCACTTGTGCTCTCTCTCTCTCTGAAATAAACTTAAATCAGTAAGTAAAAAAAAAAAACTTCAAAAATTATTAGCTTCATGAATGTTAGATGTTGCCACATATATCCCCTCCTTCCCTCCTCACAGAGGCTTGGGGAGCAGTATAGTTATCCACATTCTACAGATAAGAAGAAACTGGGTTCAGGAGTCCCTTCCCAAGACCACAGGGCTTGTGAATAAAGGTCTGAGCTCTGACCTTTGTCCTCTGCAGGCCAAGGCTTCTCACTTTACCTTGGTTACGAGGAAGAGGTAAGCTCGGGGGAATAAGGGCCAGGTTCTCTTTCCCGTGTGACAAATAATGCTCACAGTGGGTTACAGCTGGGGTGCATAACAGAAAGCAGAACTAGGCAAATAGTTAAGAGGAATTTGTCTTTGTTTAGTTTTTAACCTACAGAGTTGCTCAAATCCTTTTACAAGTTAAACTTCTTCCCTTGTGGTAGACATCACAATGCTATCCTGCTAGAAGGCATTCAATAAAGTTGAAAGAACAAAGACACAAAGGGAATGGGGCCCTGATGCAAGCAGAGACACGCTGGAATGTTCTGGAATCAGATTCCAGGTTCCTTTCTGAGGTGTTGGTGTCTCTACAGAAGAGAGCTCTCGATGTTTGTTTTTTCTTTCTTTGTGAAAGTGTGGTCACAGCTATCGTAGGACAAGCAGAACAATAACTTATGTTTCCCAATGTCATGTTGTGATTTATGTGCTATTGATGTTTCATGATCTGTGTCATTTCCGACAGTTACAAGAAAATTTTCCACCAGGACTATTAGCATGTTGGTATGACAGGGTTGGGGAGACACAACATTCACCACCCTCCTTCCCTGTATTCTGCTTACTCCCTCAGGATGAGAGGCACAGCAGAGAAGAGGCCGAAGCTCCAAGGCCCTAGGGTTGGATTAACTAGTGGGGGAGGGACTTCCATCACCTTTGGGCTCTCAATGCCCAGCCCTGAGTTGGTTGCCACCTGCCACTTAGTTTTTTTTTTAAATGTTTATTTTGGGGCGCCTGGGTGGCTTGGTCGGTTAATCGTCCGACTTCGGCTCAGGTCATGATCTCACGGTCCGTGAGTTCGAGCCCCGCGTCGGGCTCTGTGCTGACAGCTCAGAGCCTGGAGCCTGTTTCGGATTCTGTGTCTCCCTCTCTCTCTGCTCCTCCCCTGTTCATGCTCTGTCTCTCTCTGTCTCAAAAATAAACGTTTAAAAAAATTTTTTTTAAATGTTTATTTTGAGAGAGAGAGAGAGAGAGTCTGCACACAAGCAGGGGAGGGGCAGAGAGAAAGGGGGACAGAGGATCCATAGCAGGCTTTGCGCTGATGCAGGGCTCGAACTCAAGAACCGTAGACCATGACCTGAGATGAAATCGGAGGCTCAGCCAACTGAGCCACCCAGGCGCCCCTCTAATTATTACTTCTTTAGTAACTGCAGTCCCAGGAGCCTGCTTTCAAGTGCCAAAGTTCACCCTGAAGCTCAGGTTTATCGTCTTCATTTCTTAAATTATGGGGTTTCTATCCAAAGTGAAGAGATAACTGAGTTTTGTAAATTCCCTGTTGAATCCCAGCCACTGCTTCCTGCCTCTGGGCAGTACCTGCCTGTCCTGCTCCAAAGTGGCTTGCCCTGGCCTGCTTCTCCCTCCTCGGCCCACGGCACCCCCTGACCCAGGCCACAATCTGGAAGAGATGGGTGCCTGCAGACCCCAAGAGAGAGCAGACATTCGTCTCTTCTCAACGCACCAAACCCTTGTTGACAGGGTTCCCCGGGCCAGGCTCCCTCCAGGAATTCAGTTGAGCAGCCAGCCACGTCAAAAAGACTTGCAATACGGTCTGGCGCGGTAACAGCAGTCACAGAGGTATGCACAAAATACAGCTGGGGCAGCAAGTGCAATGAGAGGAATTCTTTGCAAGGTGGGGATGGCCATGTTCAGGAATGAAGGAAAGCTAGGAGGGACTGAACAGGAAAGCTGCCAAGGGCCGTTGGTGCCCCAAGCTGAGGTCCATCACATGGTCAGTAAAGCCCACCTAGCCCTCTGCTTCATGATACGGCCGAGACCCTTATGGCCCGCACATCAGAGCTGGCTGAGGCCCTCATTTGTTTACAGCTTAATCCTAATCGGATCCTGGTTTGGAAGGGAAGCTCTTCTCCTTTTAGCTTTACCAGCTTCTCTTTATACTTTAGGACTGCGGCTTTCCACCTGAGGTCCCAATGAGCACTTAAAAAAAAGAAAGAAAGAAAAGAGAAAATATCAGAGTGCATCCAACATAGTAAGTATTATTTCTCGAACCTTCTGTTTCGGTTAGGTATGTGTGTGTGAGAGTCTGTGTAAACAGGGTCATGGTGTGAAAAGTATTTCTTACCGAGAGCTGTGGCTAAAAAGTGTATGAAACATTGTTTTAAGGGAAATATCCATTCCTCAAATATTAAACGAACACTATCAAAAACCGTATCTTGTTCTAGTAAAGAAAAAAAGCAAGACTTGGGTCCCGCACTTAAGAGGCTCTGAGCCCGGCGGTGGGAAGACACACATGTCACCAGGACAGGATGTGCAAACCACACTGACAAAAGGGTGTGCACCCCCCTCCCAGTTCAGAGGAGGGAGCCACCGCTTCGCCTCAGGGCCCCATCTAGGAGATGGTGTGTGGCTGGTCCTGAAGAGCGGCTTCTGGGGGAGGAGAAGGGAAGTGGTGTTCCCGATTGGGGGAGGGTGTGAACACAGAGCAGCGAGGGGGGCTGGTGTGGCCCCCGCCCAGGCTTGGGTGTGGGTGCAGGGAGGGAACGGGGCAATGGTGACAGCAATGAGAAGATCAGAAGGGGCTGGATGATGACTTTATCCTCTGAGAGACGTGGGATTAGTTCTGTTGTTTCAAAAGGGTACGGAGGGCAGCAATTTGAAAGCCAGTGTTCAAGGATTTTTCAGGTTTATCTGAATATTGGTGCTGATGAAGACCCTGGAGGCAGTTAACCAACCGATAGTCTGATAAAAATGTCCATATTTTTATTTTCTTCCTGTTTCTGCTTCGCTGGCCAGCTAGAGCTCAGCATCGGTGTCTGCCCACCAGGCTCAGCCTGCTTCCCTCCCTCCTCCTCTCCTTGCTTTCTCCTCTCATTTCCTCTCATTATCCCTGCTGAGCACTAAACCCTCCAGCTGGGGAGGGGACAGGAAGGGGAAGAAGTGCTTTCACTTGACACCTCTCCTGGCACAGCCTGGGGGCTGCCCGCAAGTTGGCTTTAGACAGATCTGCAAGGCTACTGTCTGACTTTCAGCTCAGCCAAGGAACAGGGAGTGGCTCCTCTTTCTGCTTGTAAATCTCCGCTGAGAAAGTAGACACGGAGGAGAAGAGCAAAAGCAACCAAAGGAGCTAGCATTTTATTTCCCCTTTATGCAAAAAGAGTTTTTAATCTGTAGATCCAGCATATAGTGTCTATCTTTTCCAGTAATCTCTCTGAGCCCAGTAACCAGAAAGGGATGAGACAGATATCAAATATCAATATGCAGCTATGTACAAAAGGACTAACGTTTAGGGCCTGGGTATTCACCGACCTCATCCCAACCTCATTGTGGACACCCTACTCTCTTGATGTTCACCTTGACTTTGAACACCAGCAGATCTCCAAGAAAGTTATGTATGTGCCCGTCTATGTTGTCCATTCTTCTGCAAAAGCTGGTCTTCTTGGCTCGCCACACACCAAGCCCCTTTCTGCACCTCTGCCCCCGGTGGGTTCTGTTGCCTGGAATTCCTTTGCCCCTTTTCCACACCTACCTGAGTCCTACCTATGAGGTTTGGTTCAAATCCCACACACATCCTCCAAGGAGCCAACCCACAAGGAATGCTCAGAATCCCTGAAACCTTTATGGCCCTTAAATCTTTGTGAATGATAAGGGACTCATTCATTTCCCTATTTTTATAGCCTCGTGGTGTTAAATGTTTATCACGAATGTTGTAGATTCTTGGAACCCAGGGGCTCTAACTCATACTTCTGTGCCTGGCACAGAGCTGAGTATATAATATGATCTCAGAACTGAAACCTCATACAAATCTGATACAAAATCTGAATTCAAGGCCCTGGGACCTTGGCAGCTCCCTGAATCCCAGTGAAGCATAACTTCCTCCCTTGTAAAACTAGGAGAGTAATAGTACCTACCACTTAGAGATGTTGCAGAGATTAAGTGAATTGCAGGGAAATGTTTAACACATTGTAAGGGATTAATTATTTTTAGTAGAATCGAAGGAAATCGAAAGGAAATCAAAATTTCTTATTTGCTTATTTCTAAGTATATTCAGTTTTAGCGTTTTCCCCATCCTTGTGAGTTTTGTTTTCATTTATTTTGAGATGGAAAACATTAAAATGGTTCCAAAAGCCAAGTCAGAACAAGAAGATATTTCAGAGACCTGTCATCGGCCTCGTTCCCTCTGGCCTTTCCAACCTGTTCCATCCTCTGCCCTCCAGCTAACTAATGTCACTAGTTGGTGTTTTTTTACTTTTTCTCTACGTTTCCCTTGAATACATAGGTATATGCCCTTATTTCCTCCTCTCAATATTATTTTTTTAAGTTTTATTTGAGAGAAAGAGAGACGGGGAGAGAGACAGAGAGAGAGAGAGCGAGCATGCAAGCAGGGGAGGGGCAGAGAGAGAGGGAGAGAGCAAATCCCAAGCAGACTCAGCACTGTCAATGCAGAGCCCAATGCAGGGCTCGAACTCACTAACTGCAAGCCCATGCATGACCTGACCCAAAATCAAGGGTCGGACACTTAACCAGACTGAGCCACCCAGACGTCCCTCAAATGATATTCTTTTTATTAAAAAACATTTTTTAATGTTTATTATTGAGAGGTGGAGAGAGAGAGAGAGAGAGAGAGAGAGCAGGGGAGGGGCAGAGAGAGAGGGAGACACAGAAGTCGGAAGCAGGCTCCAGGCTCTGAGCTGTCAGCACAGAGCCCGAGGCGGGGCTCGAACTCACAAACTGAGATCATGACCTGAGCCAAAGTCAACGCCAACTGACTGAGCCACCCAGGCGCCCCAAATGATACTCTTGAGACACTGTTCTTTTGAGATGGCATTCTCAGGACCATAGTCACCTTTTGTACAGCTGCTTGGGGGGTGCTGCAAGTGGGTGCTCCATGACAGAGGGGATGGTCGTTCCTGCTCCTCACCTGGATTACTCAGGGAGAGAATGTTGGTGCTCCTCAAGTGACTGCCTCTATCAAATACTTGCCCCAGGACCCAAAGGTGTCTTTACGACTGGTAATGGGGCCACAGCCCCATTCCTGTGACTCAGGAGACTGAGCCCTAACGCAGCATCCCCACCAAACCTGCCGATTCTCTTGGACAGGGTGACAGTGCCAGCTTGCCTGAGTAGAGCATACGATTGTATAAGACTGGATTTTTTAAAAAGTTTTCTAATGTTTATTCATTTTTGAGAGACAGAGTGTGAGCGGGGGAGGAGCAGAGAGAGAGGGAGACACAGAAATCAGAAGCAAACTCCAGGCTCTGAGCTGTCAGCACAGAGCCCAGTGCAGGGCTTGAACTCATGCACCGTGAAACCATGACCCGAGCCGAAGTCAGGCCCTTAACCGACTGAGCCACCCAGGCGCCCCTCCCGGTCCCCTGCTTCATACAATATGGGAAAACAACATTTTATGCTTCCAGTCATTACTGCTCAGGGAGATTGGGGGAATCAGGGTTGAAAGTCTCTTGGGTACTTCTCCATAGGACCTCATTTCAAGGAGGAAAAAACCTGAGTAAATAAAAGTTCCCGGCAGTAGGGAGGTGGCCAGAGGAAGTGGAGCGCCACAGCTGGAGGTATTCATTGGAAAAAGCAGTGGGAGGGAAGGATTCTGTCTTGGAGTCAAGCTGTCCGCAAGTCAGCTCAGAGGCTGTGACTCACTGTGAGGAAAAGGAGGGCCCTGTATCCTGGGGGAGGCTACTTTCTCCAAACAGGAGATGGTGGCCAAGGAGGGAAATGAAGTAATCCAACATGAAGCAGCCGCAGGGCAGACAGGGCTGGAAGTCTAAGTCATCCTCGACTGTTGAGCTTGATATTACCACGTGTCCCCACGGTGCAAACAACACGGAAGGGACCAGGATGGGAAGAAAGGGAATCGGGCCCTATCTCGCCCAAGTCTTTTTCCCTTCCTGGACCTCAGTTTCTCATATTTTTTTAAGAGGAAAGGGAGACCTGGCAGCCAGCGTCCCAGCTCAGCCAGTGGCCAGGTTTTCTGTTCCTCTCAGTGAGAAACCCAGTGAACCTAGGCGCTCTGGCACAGGTCTGTCTCCAGTTCACACAGCCCCTGTCACCCCCCACCGGCTCATCCTGAGTCCATGAGACACATGTAGGCTCCCTGCCTGCCTTTGAAGTTATTTACAATGGTAACTCCCAGACAAGCAGCTCCCAAGTCTCTTCCAGCTCTGGGGCCTAGGATTCTATGCCTCAGAAAAAAACAGATTTTGAACAGTGAGTAGAAACGGGGCAAGCAGCCTGCCCTGGGATGAGAAGGAAATGATCCTTCGTCCCAGGACCCTTGAGAGGGTGAATGTGGCAGAGTGCCAGGGCCGAGCATCTGCCGGGCAGAACAGACAGCGCTTAGAATTGAAAACAGCCTTTTTTTTTTTTCTTTTGGTACAGCTTCCTGGTGCATCCTGTTTCTCTGGGGCTGCTGCTGCCAGCTCATGGGCATCATGCCCAAGCCTCAGTGGGCAGTGAGGGGGCTAGGTACCCATCTGTCCAGTTTCCTAAGCAGGTGGCTAGGAAAGTGGGGGCCGGGCTCTGGCTGCCCTCTGCTGGGCAAGTACAAACACTGCTGTGGGGTCAGAGGCAACAGAAGGATCCAGAGGGGAAAGAGGGGCTCCTCTCCTAGAGTCTGTGCACCTGTGAAGGGCAATAGGCATCATTGAGGAGGTGTTCCGCTGTTCTGACACTTTCCCAGGGAAGGCTTGGTCTCCTTGGGTATCAGGGTCTCTTAATAGTTCTCCAGTAAGACAGTCTCAGGTCATATAAGTGCTCTGTATTTAGTCAAATCAGAATGATATTCTGACATAGAGTCTGGTACAATGATAAATATTTTTTGTAATTTATTTTAAAATTTAAAATTTAAATTCATAATTTTTTAATTTTTTTTAATTAATTTATTTATTTTTGAGAAAGAGTGCACGAGCAGTGGAGGGGCAGACAGAGAGAGAGAGAGAGAGAGAGAGAGAGTCCCAAGCAGGCTGCACTGTTAGTAGAACCCAGCGTAGGGCTCGATCCCATGAACCTATGAGATCA